TCATCTCTTTGAATTAGGAGCAAATCCTCAACATTTCTTTCTCCTTCTTGATCTTGGCATTTTTGAAGACGAGTCCAGCCAGTTACTTTGTAGAATGTTCCTCCATCTAGATTTGTCTGATGTTTCATCATGATTACAGTCAGGCCATACATTTGGGGCAAGAATTGTACATAAGTGTGTTGTATTTTTCTAGGTCATCACATCTGGAGGCACTTGATGTCACTTTGTCTTATTGGTGACATTAACTTCGATTACTTATTTAAGGTGGTGTCTATCAGGTTTCTCCACAATAAAATTGCTATTTTTCCCTTTGTAATTGATGAGTAACTTGTGGGCAAGTACTTTGAGACCGAAGTGTCCTGTTCTTCACCAAAATTTTGCCAACTAGTTTTAGCATCCACTTAAGATTCTTGCCTCAGTTAATTACCATAATTTTCTAACTCAATCATTTCTTCTATATGCATTAGTTGCCGCCTAAGATGTTCCTCCTCATTTGTCTATTTTTTTCTTAAGATGGAGTTTCGCTCTCTGTAGCCCAGGCTGGAGTGCACTGGCGTGATCTCGGCTCACTCCAACATCCACCTCCCGGCTTCAAGCAATTCTCCTGTCTCAGCCTCCTGAGTAGCTGGGATTACAGGTGCCTGCCACCATGCCCGGCTAATTTTTGTATTTTTAGCAGAGACAGGGTTTCACCATGTTGGCCAGGCTGGTCTCAAAGTCCTGATCTGCCTGCCTTGGCCTACCAAAGTGCTGGGATTACAGGTGGGAGCCACCAGCCTGGCCCATTTGTCTAGTTTTTAATCTATCTATCTGTTTATTTATTATCAGGTAGAATCATGGATTCTTATTTTATTCATTGTTACACGCTAAGTTGATATGAGTTGAGTTTCTGTCACTTAAAATCAGAATATTCCTGAAAAGCCTTCAGGAAATTCTGAGAAAAGTGAGACAGTTTCTCTGGGCAATGCACTCAAGAGGTCCTTATAATCTTCATACCTGCCAAAGTGCTTCCTGATGCTGCCATTAAATCCCTTCTGGCCCACTCTACAAGTCCAAACTCTCTGAAAATTAGGCTCAATGAAGACAAACGTGGCCAGTAAATGGCCCCTAGATCTTTGTGGAGCAATCGTGTGAGAAGTGAGTATGGCTTCAGGAAGGTGAAGTACTTCTTGCTATATTCAAGGTTCTTCTCATTATCTTCTGTCCCTTCTCAGCAGCTTTGCTCAAATAGCTGGGCCAGCTGCCCACTCCTCTCCCAATGTTTCCAACCATCCCCAGAGCTTTTTCTCATTTCCCTCTTATGCTCAGCTATACCTCTGGCTCTATTTGTTTCAAATGCTGGGTATTATGCCTAAAAAGACTGTGGATGATGGACTTGATGTTTTTTGTTTGCCCCTCCAGAACCATCTTCAACCTTCCTCACCCAGCTCAATCTCTGAACTGAACTACATCAACCATACCAACAGCTGGATTCAGCCAACAGTGAGTACTGGCAAGAAATAAGAAAGCAAGAGAGTACTGGGGTATCATTATCCCAAATTTCACCCTTTCCAGCTCACCATGGGTGGCCATACTCCTCTATCAAATCATTTTTCCATGTAGCCATCTTCCCTGAGTTCTGGAAACCCCAGTTTTCCTCTCATCAGGCCAGAAGTACGGCTAGCTCTGGGGTACGCCACCACTGCCTGTTGGTTTATTTGAACACCATTGTATGTTGGTTTCACTTAACCCCGACTACACCTTTGAAAATATTTCCTTAATTAAACTTTCCTTGATCACCTCACTCGAATATGCATTGTTTTATTCACAAAGCAAAAGATACAGATGAGGGTGATGATAAGGACACATCTTCAAGTGAGACACGCAGCCGGCGGCCGGCTTTGGTATTGCCATCTTTTTTGTGCTTAATGATTTATGTCTGCCTTTATATTTCCCATATAAATGGAAACATAGGAAAGTAAACGCTATTTCCTAACTGTGACCACATGCCATTAAAAGAAATACGTCTAGCAAAGTTCAAACTTTAAGATTTCCTCCTTCTGTTTTCCTAGTGGTGAGGAAAGGTCACAAAACTCAAAGTGCCAATTTAGATAAAAGTTCATTCAGGGAGACCCAAAGGAATCTCCAAGTTTTACTTACTTACTTATTTATTTGTTTCTTTATTTATTGGAGACAGACTCTCACTCTGTCACCCCGGCTGGAGTGCAGTGACTCCATCTCAGCTCACTGCAACGTCTGCTGCCCAGGTTCAAGCAATTCTCCTGCCTCAGTCTCCCAAGTAGCTGGGATTACAGGTGCCCACCACCATGTCCAGCTAGTTTTTGTATTTTTAGTAGAGATGGCATTTCACCATGTTGGCCAGGCTGGTCTCAAACTCCTGGCCTCAAGCAATCCACCTGCCTCAGCCTCCCAAAGTGGTGGGATTACAGGTGTGAGCCACCACACCCAGCTGGAACCTCCAAGTATTATTTAATTCACTTGTTGCCCTTTACTATGTTTTCTATACACATCGACATCAAAATCCTTCTCAATCGGACATAGTTATGTCATGAGCAGGTGCAAGATCAACTGTAAGAAATTAATGAGATGGATGTTTGAATCTCAAATCAGTGAATGATTTAATTTCTAAATTTTATTACCAATCAATTCAAGGATAGATCCATCACAGTATTGCTTTCAGTCACTTGCATTCCAAAATGCAGCCAGCCAAGTGGGGTTTGGATATATTCTGCTATCTTATCAATTTACCATTGAGAGATCTGGTGATTATTGTCAGTTGACCAAGTTAACTTCCCCTAAATTGGGAAATAGTTTATTGAAATCTGATTACACACATGTGAGTGTTTGGCATCACCCATTATAATTGTCATTGTTAGAAAGTGGTTGACAATTGCTTAAGAATCCTGTCAAAGATAGGCACATTTACTGAACTCTATACCATCCTCACAAAAGCCTTTCCCTCCCAATCACTGAAAAATCAGTATTCCTGGTATACCTGGTACTTCTCCTTTGGCATGAAACACACAAAACAATTTAACTCAAACTATAATCAGTTACCTGTAAGTCTGCATCAAATTCATGTTTCAGGTGTGCTTCTTCTGCAGCCTCCACCAGACGCTAAAAAAAACAAAAACAAAAACAAAAAAAAACAGAAGACAGCATTAAGGATCAGAATTGTGGCCTGAACCCCATCTCTCCATTGACCAAAAGTGACAGATTATATCATGGTTCATACATTGTGACCTGATGCCTTTGCTCCCATGAAACTGAAAATAATCACATCAGTGTCAACATTTGGTTTCTGCCTTCATCATTCAATCAATAATTCTTCCAATAAATATTTATTGTTATGTACACATTTATAAATGCACACGTATTCTGCATCCATTTACATAACAATTCAGATACTGGCCCTTAAGGCCCAATGCAGATCCAAAACCCACCTAGAATAGTGCATTCTTAGGTACAGAAGGCCCTTAGTCAAGATTTATTGCCTTGAATTGAGTCTAACTTTAAGTGGGCTAGCTTTCTTCCCCAATATTTTGGAAAAGAGTACTTATTTTAATTCCCTCAAACATTCAAGGTCAATTCTTTCTGTACCCAGTTCTAATATGTAATTATCAGGTGACAGTTATGTGCATTTTATGGTCCATCAATGCCACTGTGACAATCTGCAACTCAAAAAAGCAATCACTTAAATTAAACGAATACTCAGCACCCACAAGAACACAATTCTTGTTATTCTTCTCAGCCAGCGAAGTTCAACACATTAATAGTCTTATGAAACCCATTTCATGATGCCTTCATTTAGGTAATTACTCAACAATCAAAATCATTTTTACTTTAATTTGAATTTGCCAACAAGAAGATATTTCCCACCTTGAAAATACAGGCTAGTGGATATTGCACAAAACTCATGTGGTGAAATAATATTTCACTGAAATTACAACAAAAAGTAAAATCTTAGATCCAAGCAAAAATTTGACCATTTCTATCTTCCCATGGTCACTCTTGTATCCTATGCTGTCTCTAACTTGCTTTCTCTTGACATAATATAGGCCCGAATTTAATAGGCCACGTGTGAAAAACGATGGCATTAATATTAATCTCTAAATGGTCACAAATCGACAGACAAATGTCCCATGAATAATTATTAAATTGGATATGGAAGTGAAGAGGCTGAAATATATTCGGGTAACTTTAAGCAGCAGTATAGAGCACCAAAGCCCACTTTCTCCACAGGACATACAAAGGAAGAGACAGGCGAGCGAGAGACGGTGCTGCCCACAGACAGGAATTTGGGAAGGGTGGAAATGTGATTTCCCACACTATCTTCAGTTGATCAGAAGGTCAGGAAGGACTTTTCCTTTACTGGTCAAAGAACAATCCCCAGAGAACATCAGAGGCTACAGCCAGGAGACCTGGTCCTCATTCTGTTCTGGATGCTAACTCGCTACAGGTGTGAAATCTGGAGCAGGACCCTTTCCCTGTCTGAGACTCAATTTCCTTACCTGAAAATACAAAAAGTGACGAACCCAGAGCAGTGCTTCTCAAAATGCGGTCCCACATTGGCAGGATCAGTTTCACCTGGGAACTTGTAGAAATGCCCATCCCATTTTTTTTCTGAGTTTTTCTGATTCAGAACCGAATCAAAAGTTCTGGAGGTGGGGACCAGCAATCTGGTCTAACAAGCCCTGCAGGTAGTTCTGATGTCACTAAAGTTTGAGAACCACTGGTTCTCAAAATAAATAATAATAATAAATAAAATAAAAATAACATTCATCCCATTCCTCACCTCACTCCTGATGCTTGATTAAACCTCCAAGGTTTTTCAACTCTTATTTAACTTTATAAAATCTATGTGCCAGGCATGGTGGGTTCATACCGGTAATCCCAGCACCTTGGGAGGCAGAGGCGGGCAGATCACCTGAGGTCAGGAATTAGAGACAAGCCTGGACGACACGGCAAAAACCCATCTCTACAAAACACATAAAAATTAGCCAGGCGTGGTGGCACATGCCTGTAGTCTCAGCTACTCAAGAAGCTGAGGCAGGAGAATCACTTGAACCCAGGAGGCAGAGGCTGCAGTGAGCAGAGATCACACCACTGCACTCCAGCCTGGGCGACAAAGTGAGACTCTGTCTCAAAAACAAAAAACAAAACTTATGTATTCCTACCTAAAATACTGTCACTTTAAGATATAAGATTCTTTACATAAAAAAAGACATAAGATGGAGGGGATGAGAAACAGAAAAGTAAGAAGAGGAACAATCTACAAAGATCAGGTAAGTGGGCCCCACGCATTCATTGGGTCACTGTCTTCCTAGAATCACCCTAGTCAATGTAGCTTGTCAGCCTTCTGGGATCACATGGCACAATCTGCAAAAATATTGTGGATCCTGACAGATGAGTGACAGGCAGTGATATATAAAAATAAAGAAAACTGTGTGTTTCTGAGAGCATACTCTCTCAATCTTTGTAATAGATTTGGAATTTCTATGCATGTATCATGAAATCAGTTATATATTGAGCTTTACAGAATGTGTATAAATATTATACATGTCTGACTACTTACATTATCAAAACAAGTCATGCATTTTGAGCATTTATTTATTTCAACACACAAAAGTAGATTTTTAATGGTGTCTACGCACTGAGAATCTAGAGAAAAAAAGTTGATAAAATGTTTAAATGATCAAAAGATAAAGTAAAACTACCCAATTACCAAGACAGATAATACTGAAAAAAGTAAAGAATTGGAAAGGTAAAAATAATAATAAAGTCATGTAGGACCAACAAAAAAGAGAACAGGATGAAAATAATAGGTAAGTTGAAATCATCACAAAATAGTATGCATGAAATGTATTTCATATATATTGTATTTACATATGTATGTGTATGTATATGTATACTGTACAGTCATGCAAACTATGTAACATATCCTACATAACAAAGTATATTTCAACGATAAACACTGCAATACAAAGTAGGTAACAATACAAGAAGGTGACACTGGAAAGCATCTGATAATATTGAAGTAACTACTAAGAGTAGCCAGAACACTGCATTCTGTGCTGAGTGAAGTAAATACATGAGAATTTGACCGGCTAGCAAGTTTTTATGTTCATGTTCAAGTTAAATTTGCTGCATGCCTTTTTATTTTTTTTTTTCCTAATAGGGAACTCTTCACGAATTTGCATGTCATCCTTGCTAATCTCCTCTGGATTGCTCTCATTTTAGTATATGTGCTGCTGAAGCAAGCACTGCATGCCTTTTTTAAAACTTAATTTACCCCACATATTTCTTTCTTGATCCATGAAGATATTTTTTCCATCATTCTCACTAGAAAGCTTTAGGAAACATGATTCAAGAAATGATAATCAACCAGCAGCTACACCTAATGGTTGTTTCTTACGAAGCAAATGGGTATCCCAGAAAAGCGCTCTTCAAATGGATACGCCCTGTACACAGCACCCACCAGGTTGTCCCAACCTGCCCTCTGATGCCAATGGGAGACAGGCCTACATTTTCTGGGTGAACTCAGGGGATGCCCTCCCAAAACAGGCTCAGCTGTTGTGTAAGACAGTCAGGAAAAATGGCACATCATCAAGAACTATGTATCTTGTGGAAAGAACAAAGGACAGTAATCTTTCCTCTGAAAGCACTCTCACAAACCTAAACAAATTAAAAGAAATGTTATTTAAGTAGGAAACCATCTTCCATAGATTCACCTAAAACAGGTTGGGTGTGGTGTAATCCCAGCACTTTGGGAGGCTGAGGCAGGCGGATCGCATGAGCCCAGGACTTCAAAATCAGTCAGGGCAACACGGCAAATCCCCATCTCTACAAAAAATACAAAAATTAGCCAGGCGTGGTGGCGCACACCTGTAGTCCCAGCTAGCGGTGAAACTCAGGTGGGAGCATCACTTGAGCCCAGGAGGCAGAGGCTGCAGTGAGCCAAGACTACACTACTGCACTCCAGCCTGGGCAAACAGAACGAGACCCTATCTCAGAAAAAAAAAAAAAAAAAAAAAAAAAAAAAAAACGAAAACAGATTCATGGGGACAGAAGTTTCTACTGTTTTGTTTTGTTTTGTTTTGTTTTGTTTTTGAGACGGAGTCTTGGAGTCTCACTCTTTCGCCCAGGCTGGAGTGCAATGGCGTGATCTCAGCTTACTGCAAGCTCCGCCTCCCGGGTTCACACCATTCTCCTGCCTCAGCCTCCTGAGTAGCTGGGATTACAGGCACGCGCCATCACCCCCAGCTAATTTTTGTATTTTTAGCAGAGATGGCATCTCACCATGTTGGCTAGGCTGGTCTCAAACTCCTGACCTCAGGTGATCTGCCCACCTGGGCCTCCCAAAGTGCTGGGATTACACCCGTGAGTCACTGTGCCTGGCCAAGTTTCTCCAGTTAATAAAATTAAAATACATTGATTCATCATCTAACAAAGACCATAAAACTTCAATTTCTGATGCTTGCTAATAGAAAGTAACAGCCTATTATTGACATCTCTTTCCTTAGCAAATGTCATTATAATCATCTAAATCCAATGAAATATGTTTTTAAAACAAATTTGCAGGTAAGAAAAATCCATTAAATTTGCTAATATTTTAGTTATTATATAAGAAACTGCCAGTGAGCCTGGGGAAAACTGTTACTCTATTATACCTGTTATAAAGGCAGTATACTTTTAATAATAATGTTAATTTTCTTTTATATGAATTCCTTTTTTAGGTCCACAGATGGGATTATACAATTGTGATTGTGGTTTTTAATTAAATGTGAACACTGGAAACAAAAATGGCTTTGAAGACTCCAGCCTTCGGAACTGAGCTTTGAGGTAAGAGAAAACAGCGTATTGTCCACAAATCTTTTGTCCCTTGTTTAATGCCAAAGCTTTTCCTTACTCAATAAAAATGATAACACTACACTGGAATATACATCCTGGACTTGGAACAAAGCACCTATAAGGTAAAAGGTCGTAATTCATGAGTTGATGCACATTTCACTGGCTTTTTATATTTCTATATAACTTATGCCTTTTAGTGAAATAAATACAAACAAGAGCCATCTTTATAAATAGACAGTGCTAGAAGCCATAGACCACGGATAGTATTTATAGCTTTGGTGAAGGCGAAGCTGCCAAGGGGAATAGCAGGGATATTAAAGCATTTCATTTAAAATCACATCTTATTTCTTGTTACAATGACCCTATATATATCCACACAACATTACAGAATGCACAGTGTCCCATTTCCTCCCCACAACACTTAAATCAGGACTAGCGTTAAAGACATGGTAGAGGTCAAACTTTCCATCATGGGCCAGAAGGGGAAAACCGGACACTATGTCTAAGTAAAAACTGGATCAGAAGAAGAAAATGATTCTTTTGTCCTCATGTATTTTATGTTTTTGTTCCTGGCCATTTTGGCTTACCAAGTGGAGAAAGGAGAGAAAGAAATACGCGGTGAGAGGTGGGAAGGTAATGGAAAATGTTACTATACTACCAAAGTAACTTAACTGCTGGACTCCTGATTTCATCACAATGAACAAATTGTGTACAAATAAAGAAAATTTCAAATAAAAATCCCTAAAATGGGGGGAAGGGACAAATATGAATGAAAATCCTCAAAACAAAACAGAAATATAAAAACCATATGGAATCACAATGTAAAAAGTTATTTTTATTTCTTATGTTAAAGCTAAAAAGGTTTGGGTTATAAAATGCTGTTATAATGGGCTGTTGGAATTTAATAAAGATTTCAAAGCACTTAATACATTTAGTGGTTTTCATTTAATGTTTTGCAACAACACACTGAATACTCATACCAGGCTTTTTACTGCCTTTTTTCTGGAAAGAATACATAATTCCTTCTCAATTAAGGTTTACGCTCAAATGGGGGGAACTCAAATCTATAATCATGAACATGGATTTGGGTTACACAAAGGGTTCTTGGAGTTAGTTATTGAATTGTCATTAATACCAGAGTTAGAGATCACATTACTCTTCCTTTGAATCAACAAGAGTTCAATGTGTAGAAAAATGGCCAGAGCAGTCAAGAAATAGTAGTAATTACTATCACAACCATACCCAGGGCAGCATGGTTAAACTGCTACCCTAGATTCAGTGGCTTTTGCTTTAAGGGCAAGAGTTTGATGGACAAAGAGTTACACCATTTGTCTATCAGTGTGTACCTGGGACTAATGCTATCCCAGCAGCGTGTTACACAGCAGGGCTTGAACTTGACGTGCTGACAGTCTACAGAAGTGAAGACAGAGGAGATCTAAGTCCTCTCCACAGTCACAGATTTCAAACTCAATCAATCACGGATTAAAATGAAAAATCTCTACCCTCATTAAGAGCACTTAGCACATCAAAAGATGTTTCCAGGAACCCTGGCAAAATGAGATTGATTTGTTTCCCGGACTTATTTCAAACTCTTGTCTTGTACCAAGGGTCAGAAATCATCCATTTAAGAACTGTTACGTTGGAGAAATTAAGTTGTTCAGATTTACATTTTCATTCCTTCTGGTGTTGAGATTCCTTTCCCTCTGTCCTTGAGATAGAGTTTTCTTTATCACTCTGTAACAGTGTAGATTAATCTTTGCTGCTTTGTAGCTAGAGCAATTGGATGAATATTTCCCGAAGTGTCGGATGGGTACCAACAGTGATCCATGAAAAAAAGTAAGATGGTTTACAGAATGTTGAGGGACACACAAGGAAAACAGCTATTTCAATGAGAAGGGACAAGTGACAAAGAATGCTGTCAGGAAGCCAAGGAAGCTTCCCAGAAGACATGACATTTAAGCTGAGCTCTGAAGGAGAACAGGAAGGATGCAGGAGAAAGAGAAGTGCTGAAAGAACATTCAAGCCAATAGGAACATTTCACAGAAAGTTTTGGAGGTATGAAAATGTTCTGGAAACAGCAATTAAGAGAAATATTCTGGAAACAGCTAGTGCTCCGGGACCTACACAGAGGCTACATCAATGACTGGATGACCATCAGGTAATAAACCAAGGCAAAA